TCACTAAAGGCAAGAACGGTCAATTAAGTTTTTTTTTTAACGAAATTGAAGAGATGGCTTGTTCAGAAAAAAAAATTGATGCTGAACAAAAAGCACTTGATCGTTCTTTAGTATATCAATGCTATTTAATATGTTGGAATTAAAGCATGGCCATTCCTCTTTGAAACTTAAAAGATGAAGTGGCAAAAAATGATCACAATCTTACGTGGGTGGATAGTGTTAGTGTTCTAACCAAGCTTCTATACAACCAAGAGAAAAATAAACAAGAACCGGCAATTTACAGCTTTAAACAGCTGCGAAAAGAGATGGTGACTAAGGATTTCAGACTAAGTAATTTTTTTGATTCAATCTATAATGCATCACTTCCTCAAAATAGAAGTGATAAGTATTTAGATAAGTTAGATAAAAAATTGGTGGTGAAATGTTATATTCTTTGCGGCAATTAAAATTCCAAATTAATAGCATTTAAGAAAGATATTTCACTTTTTGTAGATTTGATAGGACTTTTGACAGATACTATAGATGCTTTATCATATACTGGTATAATAATTTCACAAAGACATCTTGATAGAGAAAAGACAGCTATTGTCGATAATCATCTGTCTAAGGTTAATTCGTATCTAGAGAGTAAAAAAAATAATGCCTTAGTACTTAATGTCGATGATTATCATAATATCTATACTGAACAAATCTCGGATACATGTTCAACATCAAGTGCAGCATATATAACAATCTTGTTGCTAAATGGTATTGATTCAATAGCTATTCCACGAGTCACACCAGATAGTATATCAATTCATAATCCAAAACTAATTGATTCTGAAATTATATGTACTTTTTTAGATCATTACTACATGGGGCGAATGGCTAAAACGTTTAATAATCAGTTTTATCACGAAATATCTTTAGACAAGAAGCTTGAAAATATGACTCTTCACAAATACGATGATCGTATAAAAGAATGACGAGAAGAGTATAAAATGAAGGAAACAATGCTTCTAGACCTTTTTGAATTAAGTCTTAAGGATATGAATTCGTATATCAATGTTTTATAACAAGTTTATAAAATCCCTTTACTAACTAACTATTTAACTGATTATGTTCTTCCAATCATAGCTGATTGGCCTGGGCAGGTTTTTCCATGACAAGCCATTACTCTTCATTTACTAAATTATGAAAAGGATATACCAAGCAGCATATTGTCATTTATTCCAATTATTGGTGTTCTTCATATTCAACTAAACTTAATTGAGTCTATACTAAAGATTTATTAAGATTTTTTTAATATGGAGTACTAGTATATTTTTTGTACAAGTAAGGAGCTAAGTAAAATACCAAGTCCGTACTGAATCTTCATACTTTTAGAGCTCGTAAGAAGTGCTTAGAAAGAAATCAAACTGATTGTAATGGGTAAGTTTAATAAGTGTTATAAAGATACTGAGTTTTTATTTTTGTTCGAATTATTAGACAATACAGTACCAGTCAGATTAGATATATATATTCAACTCTATTTCGATCCAGAGATTAGAAATTATACATCGAAGGTATATTTCAGGCATAGTGTATTTTTTTACGGTTTGAAAGGCATAACTATAACAAAGCGCCTTTAGCATTTCTTTCAGATATATTCTATTGAAGTCAGAATAATCATCCAATATTAAATGTGCTAACAGATCATTTAGTTAAGTTTACAGATTATCCTGTTAAGAATATATACAGCAGAATACGATGACAAACTTCACCTTGTGATATCTTGGAACAGCTTTCTAAAACAGCCAAGATCATTAATAACAAAAAGACAATTAACACATTCGAAGATATATTCATCGTTCAACAAAAGTCTATATATGCAGATAAAGATCATTTGGCTTTATTAACAAAGAAGGTGAAAGTATTTCTTTTTGAAATCTTTAGTAATATTTATCAAAAGCTCAAAGTTCTATCGTTAAGAGACAGGGCAAAACAATTACTTACAAGTTAGCATTATTGAATATTACTGTAGACAAAAAGCAAATACTATTAGGATTTAGCAGTAAGCATTTGCCAACATATAACAAGTGCGATCATTGTCATAAGCTATTATGCAATGAGACAGATAAAAGCTCTATGGTTATCGCATGTGGTCATGGATACCATGAGAGCTATTTTAGTATTTTATTAAAGAGAAAATATTATTATTGCAAAAATTTTCTTAAACTAGATGTACGAAATAATGTTTCTTCTCTTCTTATATAATTAAGTAAAGTAGATAAGAATAAATCGAATCTAAAGAAGCTTATTAATACCGACAAAGAGAGTCTACAAAATCAGAAGATATTAAATGAAGATAATATATTGGAGGTGCTTCGAAAGGATAAGCATGCATTACCGAAGGCAAAGCAAGCTTATTCTATAATTCTCGAAAAATTTTTGAATGCTAATATTACAAATATTTAGCATTAATAATTTTCTTCAATATAATTTAATTAAATATATTATTATTCGACAATAAAAAAAAAAATCTTTAAATATTTTTTAATGATACTAGTTAAATTTTATTTTGTTTTTTGCGAATAATTAATAATAAAAATTTTTGATTCAATATACATAATAACGAATTTATGTAATCCTAATCTAAATTACATAATTACTAGATAATTATACATAAATAAAAAAAAAATGCTTGTAATTAATCATTTATCGCCATAAAAATAATACAATTAATTCTAATTCATAAGTAATTGCTCATCTTTATATGGTGTGCGTATTGTATATTCTTTTATATTATTTGAGTTATTCATATGCTATCTAACCACCTTGATAAAAATTTGTCTCTATTCTTTTGAATATTATCTATCCACTTGACTATATTTTCATATTCTGTAGTTCTAAATTGAAATTCTTTAATACAATTGTTAATATTCTTGTTTTCACTTGTCTATTCTTGTATTATTTTTTGAGTTACATATTTAACACCAAACTTCAGAGTATTATATCAGATAAAATTTGCATATTTTCCATAATCATAATTTCTTTTAGAGCCAATTTATCAAATACTAACATATACACGTTTGTGGTATCTTGTGCTAATCCATAAATTTCTGAAATCATTATTTTTTAATTGTATATGTTATAAGTGGGAATGAAACTATAATAGGGTCCAAAATTTACTTAGATTAGAGAGGAATAATTATGCTAAAAATCCCAACCCTAACCTTAAAAATTCTGAATCAACTTAAATCCTATTCTCACCTATGATATATATAATCTGTAAACTTATTAAACATATAAATATAAATTATAATGAAGTATAATTTAAATATTTTAACTTGCTTCTTAATATCTAATCATCTGTACATATAGTAAAAGAAATAGCTAGCGTAATTGTCTGGTAAAAGTAGCATTTGCGGATCGCACATTTGAATCAGTGAGTAAATTAAAAATATGTAAATTTAAGTAAATACATGAAACAAAAGCTAAAGAATATAACTGATAATATAATATACCCATAACATCAATATTATAAAAATCTCACAATTTAATTGGGCAGATTGGCACTGAGTCACAAATTTCAAATCTAGAAAGCTTGTGTAATATAGATTGTTCACATGCTTCTCTAAGTACACCTTCTATAAATACACCATATGTAAAATCTCTTTAAATACACAGTATAATCTAGTCTTAGCTTATAATTGTACTATATATTTTTTTCTATAAATACACACCCTCTCTAAGTGCTCATTTTGGGAGAGTATAATTTAGCAGACAAGTAATACGCTCAACGATTAGCAATTACGCTTAACGATTAACGATTAGCGATTACGCTTAACGATTAATGATTAGCAATTACGCTTAACGATTAGCGATTACGCTTAATGATTAATGATTAGCGATTACGCTTAGCGATTAACGATTAGCAATTACACTTTACGCTTAGCACTAAGTAAACTACGCTTAGCTGCAACGATTAGCGATTAGCTCT